ACGGGGCTTAACCTACCTGTCATAAATTAAGACAGGGTGTTATTTACACAACGACACCTTGCAACAAACAATACAATACACACGTACAGTTATTCAATTCAATTCTTTTATTACCTTAGGCCTTCCGGCCTATCAGTCACAAAACAATATAAACAAATTATAGCATGGCGTAACATACATATATAGAGAATGACATATATTATCCCTGTATTTCATACTTAATATTTTATGTTATTACTTAATAATTTAATTATATATTATTTCTGAACTTAGTTGCCTCATATATAAACTTTCCCAGAGAACACAATTCCTTAATACTTTCAACTCTCCATAACTGAATTAATTTAAAAACAGATGGCCTATTCCAGTAAAAATGTTTCCCCTTAAATCTCTATACCTATTGCATTCAAAAATAAAATGATACTCATCCTCCACCTGTCCGGTATTACACATATTACAAAAAAAACGTCTTTGTTCTGGGGTATTATATCGACCAGATTCAATAGCTAAACAATGTGCCGGCAGACGTATCTTAGTGAGACAAGTTCTGGATTTGTTTGGAATATATTTAGTAAGATAAAAAGATAAGGTGACACTATCCACAAGATGTTTATATATATGACATTTCGACGATGACTCTAATAAATACTGTTGGGCTTGATAAAAAATTCTCTGCTTTATTACAGGTAAAATATTGTTTGCATAATTTGCATACATTTCTTGGTTTACCCATACATATCCGAAACCAAGTGACAAAAGTTCACTTTTATAAAAGTAACCCAGTTAAAACATTTCTTTGTGTTACCATTTCTTTAAAAAATCATATGCACGATTTAAAATACAATTTTGCGCATTAATTAATTTAAACCAGTACTTTATCATTCTATATTTTCAATTTTCAAGTGGGAAACGACCTAGCTCGCAATATACCATTGAATTAGAGGTAGATTTTTTAACAAGTAATATTCTTTTACAAAAATGAGTGTGAACCTTTTCATTGTCGTTTGCCTTGGACGCTCCCCATACTTCACAACCATGACTTAAAATACTTCCAACATAGGTATCGAACAGATGAAGCATAGTTTTAACATTCAAGTTCATGTTATTACATTTTGTAAAACGTGCAAACATTGCTTTACGTCCCTGATAGATAGCTGATTTTGGATATTATTAAATTTATTATTAAATTTAATCCCTAAATATGTGAATTAATTTACAATATCAAGATATCTACCATTTTATGTCCATTTCTCATTACAGTTTACAATTTCACTTTTTCGGAAAACAACCACTTTTGTTTTTTCTGTATTGACAGTTAGTTTCCATTTGTCTGAATATCTTTCTAAATCATTGAGTAGATCTTGCAGTCCGTGGACAGTCTCCGAAAATAACACCATATCGTCAGTATAAAGCATGAGAAATAAACTAAAGTCTTGAAATTCATAGTGTGAATTACAATGTGATTGTAATGTATGACGTAATGTATGACTGGAACTCTCCGGTCTCCAGAGGTAATAAAGGAATTCTGGCTAGCAGTCAGCATGGCGTCACGTTTTGAATATACAACATGGTGTCAGAACCTGAATCGGACAACATCGTCCACATGATAAAGGATCAACAGTATATTTCAATGTAAAAAGTTGAAAGAGACATAGAAGAATACAGAGAAATCAAAATGGATACAGGAAACACACAAGGAACGCCAAAAATGAATTGGGATGCGCCCGACCTCGTGGTGGCATGGGAAACATTTAAAAACCACGTTGACTTTTGGTTTAAAGGACCACTTTCAAAGAAAAACGAGGAAGAAAGATGCAACTACCTCATGATTTGGGTAGGAGACAAAGGTAGGGACATATATACCACATGGACACTGACAAATGATGAAAAAAAATCACTCACGGCATTAACTGAAAAGTTTGAAGCACATGTTCGTCCAAAAACAAACAAGATATTCTCTAGATACAAGTTCCAGTGTAGAACACAACGAGAAGGGGAAACATTTGAACAGTTTCTTACAGATTTACATTTGTTGGCCAGAGACTGTGCGTATCAGGAGAAAGATAATATGATTCGTGATGCAATTGTATTTGGTACGCTGGATCACAAAGTCCGAGAGAAATGTATCAACGAGGGTTCAGATTTAACCTTAGATACTGCAGTAAATTTTGCAAGAACTTGTGAGTTGTCAAAAGCTCAGTTACAGAAAATGGAAAAATCGGTAAACGCGATCAAGAAAGACCAGAGTCAAAAGTGTAAACCGAATGCGCCGTCAGCTAAGTACTCGAACGCGCCGCCCAGATACAAGGGAGATCACTCTAACCGCAATGGTGACAAAACGTGCAGAAAGTGTGTGAGACAACATCCACCAAGGAATTGCCCTGCATTCGGAAAAAAATGCATGAAATGTGGCAAAATGAACCACTTCGCTACTGCATGTTTAGCAAAAGGTAAGAACAATCCTCAGAAAAACTGTAATGTGGTTGAAATTGATACAGAAGATGAACTTTTCGTCGGAATGATAAGTGAAAGTCTGGATGTAAACAATGTCGAGAATTCAGAGTGGGTAGAAACTGTAGTTGTCAACGAACACCCAGTAACATTTCAGTTGTGTTGTCGAGGAGACTGTATGAAAAGTTGAGCAACAAGCAACTACAGCCATGTAAAACACCGCTACGTTCATATTCAGGGCATCAGATAAAGTGTATCGGAACAACACATATGATGTGTTCCTCTAAAAACAAGCCTGAACAGAAAGTACAGTTCTATGTTGTTGACATGAACGCTCAAGCAGTATTAGGAGCTTCTACTTGCCAGGAACTAGGTCTCATTAAACGGATACACTCAATACAAACTTCAGCAGGAAAAGTACCCGCAGGGATTGATGAAGGATTCGAGGACCTATTCTCAGGACTAGGATGCTTGCCAGGAGAGCACTCCATTAAGCTTGATAAATCTGTTACGCCAGTAGTACACCCCCAAGGAGAGTACCTATATCGCTCAGAGATAAAGTCAAAGATGAACTGGACCGCATGGAGAACCTGGGAGTTATAGTAAAACAGGAAGAACCCACTGAATGGGTTAACTCCCTTGTGACAGTCCTGAAACCTAATGGGAAACTGAGGTTATGTATTGACCCGTGTGATCTGAATAGAGCTATACAACGAGAACATTTTCCACTCAAAACTATTGAGGAGGTGGTTTCAAGGATGCCCGGAGCTAAGATTTTCAGTAAATTAGATCTTACTTCAGGATTTTGGCAGTTAAAATTGGACGAGTACAGCTCAAAGTTGTGTACCTTTAACTCTCCATTTGGAAGGTACCGGTTCACCCGGCTGCCCTTTGGAGACAAGTCAGCCCCCGAAGTATTTCAACGGGGAATAACAGAAATGGTATCAGACCTTGAAGGGACAGAGGCCATAGTTGATGATATATTGGTATGGGGAACCACCAAAGAGGAACATGATCACAGGCTACAGAGAGTGCTGGAACGGGCACGTGAGTACAATGTAAAACTTGGCCAAGACAAGTGTGTAATAGGTCAGACAGAGGTCACCTATGTGGGACATTTATTGACTAAGAATGGGGTGAAACCTGACCCCGAGAAGGTGAGAGCAGTACAAAATATGGAGAAACCAATCAATGTAAAAGAGCTCCAAACCCTAATGGGTTTCGTGCAGTACCTACATAAGTTTTTACCAAGACTAGCAGAGGTCAGTGCACCACTACGAAGTCTTCTTGAGAAAAAGACTGAATGGCATTGGGAGAAACAACAGGAAGAAGCGTTTCAAACTCTAATACAGATGGTTTCAGCTGCACCTGTACTACAGTTCTATGATAGCAGTAAACCACTTACCCTCTCAGTGGATGCCAGTAGCAAAGGGTTAGGTACTGTTCTGGTACAAGAGAAAAAACCGGTCGCATATGCCTCGAGGGCACTCACCACTACACAGCAAAAATACTCACAAATAGAATAAGAAACGTTGGCAATTCTGTTTGGTTGCGAGAAATTTCATGAATACGTGTATGGGCGACAAGTTACCGTGGAGTCAGACCACAGACCCCTACAGGCAATATTCAAAAAACCAATTCTACAAACACCTCCGAGGTTACAGAGATTGTTATTAGCTATGCAACGTTATGATGTGGAAGTCGTTTACAAGCCAGGAAAGCTCATGTTTTTAGCAGACCATCTGAGTCGTGCATACTTGAAAGAAACAAAAGAAGTTTTGGTTCCAGACTTACAGGTTAATGAAATTCATCTGACTGCATATTTACCTGTTTCACCAGAGAAATACAAACAACTCAAAGAGGCTACAGCTACAGATGATGAGTTACAGAAGTTACAGGATATTGTTCTGTACGGATGGCCAGACAACAAGGTGGACGTACCAGCTGAGCTACGTTCATATTGGACCTTTCGCGATGAAATATCGTGCATTGATGGGCTCATGTACAAATCTCATAAACTCGTAGTGCCCAGGTCTATGAAAAAAGAAATGTTGGACCTTATTCACTCTTCTCATCTTGGTGTAGTGAAATGTAAGAACAGAGCAAGGGACATACTGTTCTGGCTAGGCATGTCACGAGACATTGAGGACCGAGTCAACTCATGTGAGATATGTGCCAAGCATAATAACGCAAACCATAAGGAGCCAATGATCGCGACAGAGTTGCCCATTAGGCCATGGTCTAAAATAGGTGTGGACCTGTTTGACTACAATAATGAATCGTACCTACTGACCGTGGATTATTTTTCAAAATGGCCAGAAATTGTGAGACTTGAATCTACTACCGCAAAGTGTGTCATCAGTCACATGAAAAGTCAAATGGCAAAGTATGGTATACCTGATTTAGTAATCAGTGACAATGGACCCCAATTTGCTAGCTTTGAATTTAAACAGTTCTCACAGCAGTACCAGTTTGAACATACTACTTCAAGTCCACATTATCCACAGTCAAATGGGCAAGCTGAGAGAACGGTTCAAACCGTCAAACGCTTACTGAAGAAATCAAATGACCCATATCTGGCCTTATTAGAATATCGGAACTCTAATATTGATGAAGTTGGACTTTCACCAGCTCAAATGTTCCTTGGAAGAAGATTGAAAACTACAATACCGACGTCATTACCATTACTCAAGGCTGAAGCATTTGATAAGGTGCGGGAACAACTGGTAAAACGCCAGAAAAAACAACAACAAAGTTATGATCGACATGCCAGTGGAGGTCTACAACCACTGAGCCCTGGAGACCAGGTCCTGCTACAACAACATCCAAATACATGTAGATCTGAATGGAAACATGGAACAGTAACTGAGAAACATAAGACCCCAAGGTCCTATGTAATCCGATCAGGAAATCGGGCATACCGGCGAAACCGCAGACATCTACGACCAACCAGGTCAAAGGCAGACTTGGACCAAGAACCAGCTGACCTTAATTTACATTGCTGGCCGCCCAGTAATCAACCGTCCAAGCAAACTTTGGCTACAAAAACATCCATCCAGGATAGCAATATGTCACAGGAAACCCGTCAGGCCGTGCAAAACCAACTTCCACCTACATCAGTTTTGGATAGTCCACGCCTATCCAGTTCTGGAAGGATTATCAAAACGCCAGCAAGATTCAAAGACTTTGTTCAATAGATTTTGTGTTAACGAGTTTCAAGTTTAAAAGACATCTAGTTCAGTTAGTGTTTTAGTTTTTGAAAGACTGGTTCAGTTAGGTTTCATATAAGACTCAATGTTCTTTTTCAGGTTAATAGTGAAATTATCTCATTGACATGGTTAATTGACTTTATATTACTCATAACATGTACATTAGTGTTTATTATAACTTCATGAGTAAATTTAGTAACTATCAATTCAATATTATGATAACAGTAAAGAAACAAATTTTACTTAAAATTCTTTACTTAAAAATGTGTATTTTCAGTTGATCAGAATAATGCTTTGGAAATGATCCAACTATTTTTCTATGAAGAGAAAGATGTAATGTATGACGTAATGTATGACTGGAACTCTCCGGTCTCCAGAGGTAATAAAGGAATTCTGGCTAGCAGTCAGCATGGCGTCACGTTTTGAATATACAACATTGATATAAAGAAAAATTCAAAATCGTTAACATACAATGAAAAAAGTATCAGGGAGAGAATTTCCCCTTGGAAGAGCCCGATCTCGTTATCGAAGAAGTCCGAGATGCGACCTTTAAGACTTACACACGATTTCACACTTTCATATAAGGATTTAATCAATTTCAAAAGTTTCCCGCGTATTCCCAATTTTGATAATTTAAACCACAAATTTATACGATCAACTCGGTCAAAAGCCTTTTGAAAATCCACGAAGCAACAATACAAACGTTTGTTGTTACTAAAAGACTTTGTAATTATTGAATGTAATGCAAATACAGCAGCAAATGTACACATTCCAGGGCGAAACCCAAATTGGGCGTCAGATATTATATCATATGTTTCGCCCCATTTCAATAATCTACTATGTGAATAATATTCCAAGACAGTAGAACTTTCTCGGATAACAAACATTCATTTAATATACCATCTAATCTATGTGCTTTTCCACGTTTCAATGAAATTATTGCTCGTGATTTTTCATCAATATAGATTTCATAATCTAATTCATTATATACTGGTATATCGAATTCATTTTCAGTAAACAAAAACGAACCATAGTCTATATTTGTGCCGTTTCTAGGATTAGCGTCACTACCTCTTGACAAATCCTTAAAATAATTATATAAAATATTCAAATTTACTTGAGGTCCCGATGACTTTTTCCTTGCAAACTTCTTATAGAATTGACGCGGATTATGTTTTCGTAGATATTCTAGCATGTCTCCTTCTATTCGAATATATTGTCTCTTTTTCTTGGATTCTAATGTTTTATATGCTCTCTTACAACCAGGTGTTCTGATAATTTGACTTAACTGACTTGAAGCTAGAAATGAAACGTGTGAATCGGTAGGGGGTCTCTTATCGCACGGGGCTTAACCTACCTGTCATAAATTAAGACAGGGTGTTATTTACACAACGACAACTTGCAACAAACAATACAATACACACGTACAGTTAAAGACATGATATTTATAATTGTGCTCATATTCTACGTGAAGTCACAATTGAATACGTTTGAATTTATCCAAATTGGTCGTGACCCAAATCATATTAATGTATTATTATCCGAGCCTAACATTCTTTAAAATCTCGTACCATGTCTCTCCTTAAATCTGGTGCTCACCCCAGTGCACTTAACCTTCTTACTGTAGCTAAACTGGTTAAGATTAAAGTGTATCCGTCTGTATTGTATGGTTGTGAACTATGGATATTCTCAAAAGCTGAAATACCCATGTTAGAAAGAGCACAAAATTTTATTGTTAAATCCATCAAAGGTTTTGAAAAACGGACGAGAACCGATATGTGTAACTCATTATTAGGTTGGACATCTATTGAAGCTTATATTGATACAAGAAAGTTACTATTTTTGAGGCGAGTATATAGTATGAACAATATTTGCCACTAGATTTTTATGTTTAATACGAATATTGCAAAACAAAGTGGGTTTATACCAGATATTGTACGGATCCTACGAAGGTATTCATTGTATGGTATTTTTTCAGATTTTATAAGAACGGGCTCGTTACCTGGTAAACGACAGTGAAAAACATTGGTAAATAAGTACGTATATATATTTGAAGAAAATGAATTGAAACAAAGAATGTCAAATGACAGTGACTTCCGGTTTGCGTCGATTCATAACATTGCTTATGGAAACTTATAGCATTACTGCTAAGCATGTAGCTTGTTCAGCAAGTAGAGCTTTAGGTTTGCTAATTGCTAAATGTAAGGCTATGGGAGGACTTCCTTATAGTACTTACACTAAATTGTACGATGCTACCGTGTGGCCAATAATAAATTATGGTGCTGCTATATGGGGCTCTAGACAATATAGTTGTATTATGGCAGTTCAGAATAGAGCGTGTCGTTTTTATTTAGGATTAGGTAGATACACACCCAATGCCGCTGTTCAGGGGGACATGGGTTGGAAACCAGTTGTGATTAAACAGTGGACAGCTGTTTTTCGCAATTGGGGTCGTTTTTTAAATGACATACCTCATGATAGGCTTAATAAGCACATTTTTAATTGGTCTTATGATAGAAGTGTTATCGGTTGTAACAATACCCAACATGTGGTGCGTGAGAGACTGAGAAATCTAGATCTGTGGAGTTTTGTAAGTGGTCCATTTAGCACTAAGGATCTTTTGAGGCAAGGTGAACTAAAAGGTATGGAACAGTTTGTAGAAGTTTGGAAAGAAGATGTGAATAGAGTGAACAGTAGAGGTGTGGGACAAGGATGTAATAAGTTAAGAATTTACAAACTTTTTAAGAAAGACTTTGTGACCGAAAAATATGTACAGATGATGATGCCCAAGGGGCACAGAAGTGCATTAGCTAAATTTAGAAGTGGTGTTGCTCCTATTCGTATTGAAACAGGACGGTATGAAAGACTACCTGTTGAAGATAGAATGTGTTTCAATTGTATAAACAGTGTGGAAAATGAAAGTCATGTATTTTTTGATTGTCCATTATACTCTGGTCTTTGTGATAAATTGAATGCTCATGCTGCTCGAGTTGTCGAGGATTTTGATACTTTACAAATTTCTGAGAAATTATCAGTAATCCTTAGTAACCCAGAACTGATAGGTAATACTGCCAAAGTCTGCTTTCACATCTTAAGCAGCCGTAGGCATCTGCTATTTAGATAGTTTCCCTGTATGTCATCTAATCATAATGCATTATATTTCAGTTGCTAGGATTACTCTGTACTTTCTGTACATTATCAGCCATATTATTTCTTACTATTGTGACATTGTATATGTTCTACTCCAGTCTATACAAGTATATTTAAATGTTAAAACTTACTTGGAGACTTAAGTAATTAGTATTTTTTTTAGGTAATTTCTTTTTTAAGTAAATACTTAAGATAGTGTCTCATAATTCAGTTTTATGAATGGACATCAGATATTGCTGGGTATGCATGCTGTCTTAAAGTTTTAAATGTGTACTAGTTTAACTGTATTTTACCAATTTTATTCTGATGTGTGACACTTAAATAAACAATATTGAATTTAATTGAATTGCAAAATATCCTCGGTACTGTAGATCTATACATTGTATTTTATGATGGTGTGTAACCCCTCGCAGGTCTAGCAATACAGAACTGTGTCATGTTTATGGAAAATTTTACAATGATTCTATAACTCATATTGTTCTAAATTGTGATGCAGGTATTAGAGACGAATTATGGTGCTATGTTATTAACATGTCAGATATTCAATTCAGTGTCCATATACATAACTTATCATATTTCGAATTAACTAATGCTCTGTTAGGCAGTCTATTAAAGTATGATTTATCTCCAGAGAAAACGGAACATTTCAGATTAGGCGCTATATCATATGTGTGTCAAATGTTGAAAAACTATTATCAGTAATCTGTTTTTCTGGTACATATAAGTACCAAAACCCTATATCTTGAAAATGTGTTGAAAGAATAGTTTAGTGAAATACTTCTTATTAACTATCAAAACATATTGTAACTTTATATATATGTATGTGCGTGTTGGTGTGTACGTGTGTAAATTTATGTAATTTATTGCTGTTTATATAGTTGTCTTTGTAAATCTTCATATTTGGAGGAAATAAAGATAATAATAATAATTGTTGTTGTATATATACAAAATATGTAACAGGTTATCAATACATCATACTGGTACAGATTTGGAGAGCTAGATATATAGAATAATTAAATATCAAATAAAAGGAAAAGATAATAACTTACGTCTCCGATGTCTTGGAGGAATTTCCTGGATCGAACTTGGATCTCGTTGTCGCATAAATATCGCACGAGGAAGTGGGAATCCTGTCTGCCAAGTGTTCTTTTCGTCATGTTGATCATGCGGTCAGAAGTGGTAGCCGCACCCGTATTTACGTTGCGCTCTTGCACAACAACCCAGATGGCTCGTTAATCGCTAAGAAAACAATATATGACAGGTCTCGACGGTGTGTTCCCGGGATGCCAACATTTTTAAAATCACAACATGACATGTTATTGTTATAGTGGTTAGAAAGGGATAACAGTTCACATTATTATATAATACTTACCTGTATACGGTGGTGAGCCATGTATACTGCTTACCTGTATATCTCTAAGTGGTGAAAGTTAATTAAGTTAATTAAAACAATACAACAACTTTAAGTATGCCGATTCTGGTTAAGGCTGTCCGATACTTCAAATGATCGTATGGTGAAACGTCTACACGATTGGTCTAAAACCAGGAGGGAAAGCTGGGATAAACGTGTTGGAAAACAGTTTAAAGAACATAATCTTGATGATTTTCTATTGCCTAATGCTATTCCTGGTTATTGTTTGAACCTAGCTAAACGTAACTTCATTACGGTGGATAGTACTAAGTGGTATAGTGATCTATGGAATGATTCAGGGAAAATTAATTTCAATAAGTTGCGTACTTATCATACCTTTAAGAAGGAATTGTCCACTGAGTCTTATATACATCATGTCGTTAACTTTAGACATAGGCAAATATTAGCCAAGTTCAGATGTGGGAAT